GCTTCCTAGGAGGTTGCATTCTTTCCGATTCTGATTTTCTGTAAAGCTGTTTGAGTTAGCAACCAAGATTGTGGGCATTTTGTGCTGGTGCCCATGAGTTGTTAAATTCCACGTGGAATATAATGGCACTTATCGTGTTGCTAGAATTTTAGGTAAGCAACAGCATTGGTTACTTCGGTCGCTCACCTTATTTGATGTACCGCATCTCTCCATGAGAACAAATTCTGTACCATTCTATGGGTTTTTTTTCTTCAAAATATTATTTTTATATTTTATGAAATCTCAGATCAATAACACTGGGGCGATTTGGAGGAGGGGAGGAAATGAGGATGAGAACGATTTGGAGCGGCCTTTATGGCCATAGAGGGTGGGATGACAACTCTGTTAGAGTGACCTTTTCGACAAATATCGAGGGTTGGAGTAGAGCCCACATATTCAAGTCTGTTCTTATCCTTATTCCCCCCTCTCCTCCGAATCTTCCTTGGCAAGACTCCTCCGATCCAAACACCTCCTGGTCCCTCGGTCCATCCGCCATGGCATCGCCCGCCGGTGACGACAGCCACCTCTTCGCCGGCGTCCACTTCCTCCTCATCGGTTTTGACAGCGTCTCCGTGTCCCAGGTGCGCGCGGCTTCGCCTCCCCGTCCTCCCATTTCGCCAGGCGAACCTAACTCTTCCATCTTGGATACTCATATCTCCTTGCCATTTGTATCCTCATATCTCCTAGTCAAAACTCTGAAACATGGCAACCTTTAGTTAATTCTTCAAACATAACATATGTACAAAGATGAAGTTTTGTCACATTGTGCAGTGATTTTCTTTGACTTTTATAATTTCCATTCTAAACGTTCCTTTTGCCTTCCTACCATCATGGTCGTTTATCAACTGCAGACCAATTTAAGTGAAAGTTTATAGAGCACGTAACACTGAGCGCATATGTTTCAGAAGTGAATACTGTCCTCTTTGCCTTTCGTCGGGTCAGCTCAGCCCCAAAGAACTGTATCCCACTTATGAGTAACTATAGTAATGCACATGTTATCATTCTGATTTCTTTGCGGTATTCAAGGAGTTCAGTGACTGCTTTAGATGGTGAAATTTTTGCCACTACTGAATTTTCATTTAACCGAAGTCCAAAACATATAAACCTATGACTTCTTCTCTGTAGCTGATAGTTCCTATTTGTTCTGTACCTATTATATGGGTTTCACCTATGTAGTCTTGATGATAATTTTGTTCACTTGTCCTTTTGCGGATGCCTGAGCACCTTCATTTTGGGAATTCGTCGGCAGATACTTGAGATGTAGTTGAGTTATTGGATTTTGTGGTTTACTGGTTATATATCTTGACTTATAATGTACTGTGTTCCTTTTCGTTCTTAATGCAGAAAATGGTACCTTTGCTGGGCGCACAATTCTCCAAACCTTTGTTAGCACCCTCAGTCACTCATCTGGTTTGGTATAAATTTGAAGGTTTGTTGCTTTTAGCAGACAGTCAGTGCCATAATTATGCATGGATAGTTCAATTTCGTTTTGTTGTTTTACCCTCCACGTTTCTTCATTGCTGTTTCTTTGTAGTAGTGAGCATGCATTTGCAAGCGCTGACATAAATTTTTTATTTCCTACTGTTATTGGTAGCTCTTTGTTTTAGATGTGATGTTAGTTTTGTTGCTAAGAATTAACTCTATAGGCGAGTGAGAATCTTATGCCCAAATTGGCACTTTGCGTCAGTGGCATTTTTTCCACATGTTTGTCATCAGATTAGGATTTTGGTGAACTAGTTCGTGTATAAAAGTTGTATGATATCTTGAGTTTAAAACTTAAATGAGCAATAATTAAAAATAATCCCAGCCACTTGGCTTCACGTTTTAGGCTAGAGGGAACCAAGACGTAAGTGGCAATGTTGAAGTAAGAATCTTTGATGTCATTTGGTTGTTGAACACATAGATGGCACCACAATGCGAGTCTTTGCTTTTCTTGTCTTTATGTGACCCATATAAAAGTTATCTCATGATCATAGACAGCCTTTGGTATGAGTGATGTACAAAATGGGATGTGTTTTTTTCTCCTGATCTTTTTCCTTTTTTCCAGTTTTGTTTTTTTGGGCCTTTCTAGTTTGAACTGCTGGTTTCTGATAATACAAGTCGGAGAGGAAATTCTCTTTATAGAAAGAGAGTGTGGTGTACAATGATGAACATATGAGAAGTTGCAAGATTTGGTAAAAAAATCGTTGTGTATCTTGTGAAAAAAATGTTACTCTTTGCATAGTCTAGAAAGCCTCTGGTGAAACATAGGCTTCTAGGTAACTTAAAATAATCCACAACATGCCTATCGAAAGTATGTTTCGAAAATTTCTATGTGCGTGTATATGTCATGATGCTCGTAAGTTTTTGTATATGCTCCTTGAATGCAACATCACAGTTCTTCAAATGAACAAGGTGAGAAGTACAAGCGTGCCGAAAGGTTGGGCATCAAGATTGTTAATCACCGGTGGTTGGAGGATTGGTATTACACAACAGCTTTTGTTTATAATATAAGCTCACATATTAAATATCATTATGTTGTTGATCTTTCTATTTTTATTTTACAGCTTAAAGTCATGGAAAATCCTTCCAGAAGATGATTATAGCGAGAGGCAAGTAAATGTACAATTGCACGCTTCTTTCGATTTGTCTTTTACACCTGTATTGTATCCATGTCCTGATTAAATTGTCTCCCTATAGCGCTTGCTAGCTGCGGTTGGCTAACCTATTACTACTGAGCGTCCCAAAACCTAATCCTGGCTATTTATTTCATTCAGTGGCTGGGGACTAGAGATAATGGAGGCACAATCCAAGGAACGCCTCAAGTTCCCGATTCGGGAGCGCATCAAGTTCGCAAATGGGAAGTATGCCATGAAGAAATCAAAGAAGAGAAGCAGCAAGGTGCTCGCTGCAGCCCTGGCACTCCTGAACCACGCCCATCCAGAGGTAGGCACCGACTTCTTGGCGTGCCATGATCTTCCTCCCGACATCCAGGGACCAAACCGCCAAGTACGCCAAGGTCGCAAGAGCCTCTGTTGCCTCGTGCGTTAGCAAGCTCAAAGCAGACGAAGCCTGATGAACAACTAAAGATGGACCTTGTTTGCAGATACACCCTGAACTTCTTTTGTTAGAAAAAAGGTTATGAAATCTTCAGAGAAAACCAGTGAAAAGAAGTCAAGGGCCGTCACCTGTCGTAGCGTTCTGTCCTTGCCCCTGCCTTTCATCGGTGAAATATATTCCAGAAAGCTTTCAGAAATGACCTGGTATCTTTCGCTCATTGCAACCGGGAGGCACAAAAAGTGGCGTAACTTATGATTTAAATTCTCCTATGTATTGGGATGGGATGATGATCCTTCTAGTATTATCCTAGCTTATATTGTGGACAATGTAACATTTGAATTAATTAAGTGGCTGAAGATTAAATGGCACTCCTAAAAGAACTCCTCTGGTGGATGGCGTCTCTTCTCGTCCTTTTGCTTCCCCTACCAAGTTAATTTCTAAAAACCAACATATTTGTGACAAGGGTAATAGACATCCACCACTTGTACACAAAAATAGCATTCATAGAAACTTCAATAACATTTTCACAAAAGTCTGGTCATAGTTGTATAAACCAAAAGGCTTCTGTCTATAAGCATAAGGTCCAAGGATACATGTAAAAGTTTTTTCCCCCTTAATCTCTAGGATACACGTGTACTCCAAAAGATCAGTATCGCCATTAAGAGAACAAAAGATGTGTATGGTTAGATAATATTTCTAACATCTAGGGATAGTGATATTTCTTGTTTTTATTTTATTTTTTCATAACCAATGCACGTCTTATACCCTATTGTAGTGCGGAGCTGACTTGTTCCTTGCTGCTCCGACCGCTTCAAGAGCGGAGCTGCGGTCCTGTCTCAAGTCTCTTCTCTGAAACTAATCATGAACATGCCAGAAGAAGCGCGGGAGTGGTGTGTCCATGGTGGAGCGGCGGCTGCACACCATCGCCGATGATGAGGTCGACCTTAGGGCCGGCATCTACAGGTGCCCGCTAGTAGTGGCAGACGCAAGAATGTCTTCGCCACTGTCAGCCTTGAGGAGTTCATCTTCTCCTCCACTCACTCATGATTTCTTCATTGTTCCAATTATTAAGCAAATAGAGAACGGAATGAATTTTCAGGTGAATCAATGCCTTTCATGCGTAGAGGCATGAATAATGTACTCGACCAAGTTTATGCAATCCAACACCGTCTCCATTCTTGCTTTTTTTCCTTTGATTTTTAGAAGAGATTTTAGTTTTACCCTCTCGTTGCAGGGGTTCCATCAGCAATGGAGATTAATGTGTTGAAACAACAAAATTAACATGGCTCCAGATCCAAAAATATTTTACATGGCTCCTGATACTTATCTTGTCATTAGCTGCCATGGTAAACCAATACCACTACTTTGTTTTGGATTAGTTTGAATTGCTTACCACATATGTCATGTGGTGTAAACCAATACCACTAATTTTAACTAGAAGTCAGTTAGCTAGACTTGTTCTTGTTCTTCCTACTGGTCTTATACTTGCCGCTGAGTACATCATATCCCTTCCATGGAAGGGTTTAAATAAACTAGTACTACCTCCATCTGAAAAAGCTTGTCCCTCGAATGGATGTATCTAGCATCAAGTTAGAGCTAGATACATTCATTTGAGAGACAAGCTTGGGACAATCTTTTTTTGGACGGAGGGAGTAATAGTTGTAAGTAGAGGTCATCAACTAGACTAGATTAATTTCTTGATTGATTACAATGCTACCATGTGCCGCTAGGATTGATCCACCAAATCCAAGCTTTTGTGCTCACCAAGTAACACAAGACTAATGCTTCTTTCCCCATAATTAAGGTACCGGGTGCTACAAGTCTGATCATACATTAGCAGATACAGTATGGAACTAGTACAATCTAGGGGTACATAAAGACTTCAGATATGCCATCAACCTAAGTTACTCATCACCACACAGTCAAAGCTGGCTGGAGAGCTTTACAGGCCGGATACCCATATGCACGTCATCCGCCTTGGAAGAGTAGAGCGAAGACCAGACAATGGCGCCCTTTAGTTCATAGGAACCGGCTGTCACAATGAAGGTCTGGCACCCACAGTTTGTGGGGCAAACACTGGTGGTAGTATTCTTACCATCACGAGAAACTGTGTTGATATATAGAGGAAGCCACATGGGCGCAGCCACAACCCGACGCTGCAATCTAATAAGCCCACCTTCACCAACCGAACTACTGCCATCATAGAGGAGGACACCCTCAGCAATTCCAGAAATGCCGACGGTGATCTTGCCAAGGATTTCGCAGTGTTCCTTGTTGTCCTTGTTGAAGGGTTGCCACTGCCGAGCAACAGATCCGTTTGGCCTTTTTATGCTTGCCTTGATCTGACTAAGAGTAAACTTAAAGGTGGCTTCCACTGCTTCATGGACAGGTGCGTATGTCAAGTCGACTGAGCACAATGGGCCGGCAACCCTGCTTCTAATCACTTTGGAGTAAGAGGTGGCTACCTTGTCCTCTAGGCAACAATTGGCGATCTCAACGTCACTTTCTGGATCCAAACTCCTAATCTTCAAGTCAACCTCAATGTGAAGGACACTGTGCAAAACGATTCCTCGAGACGGACCGGTTAGGGACAAGAATGCACCCTACAAGGTAAAGCACATCAGGCCGGCTACTTTGTATATGTAGTGCATACGAAAACAAGGTAACGAACTATAAGAATGAACTTGCCACAAGACTGCTCATCATCGTGGTAAGACGACACAGATGCCTACCTATCTATCCACTGAGTGACAAGTACAATTCGTAAGGAAAATAGAATATGCTTCGAGTTGAAGTTGTATAACAGTGGTATATTAACACCATGTGATCGCAGGCCCTGGTTTACTTGATGTACAATTTGATATAGCTCTGTGATCGGGTAGATAGTGAGGTACACAAGCAAACAACACTACCGCTTGAGCAGTAAAAAAAGTACTACTACTATTTACGGTGTAAATGATTTTAGGTATACATGGCAGTTGAGCATTCATCATCAAGGTTGGATTAGGCGCTAGACACCCCTTTTTTTTTACGAAATCACACGCTTAAGCGCAAGTAAGCCCTGGGCGATAGGGCTCCGCTCAGCACGATTAAGCGAGCGCCTAGGAACGTTCAATATATCAATGTTCATCATGCTTAAAAGAAAATCGAAAGATTCTGTGAGAAAAACCGCAAGTGATGAATGCTGAAAACAGCAACAAAAAACAGTACTCCCTAAGATCCATATTAACTGACGCTGGTCTAATACAAAGTTGTACTCCTAAATTTGTACTTTGCTGGTCAATTATTCAGAAAGTTGGCATCTTTATCTTCAATTTCCCTCACGTGGGTGGCAGCTGTTTTACCTGGGCGTCGTTAATCTTCTGGCAGTTGTCACGAACACGACGGAAGATGAACACACGCTTGGCATCAATATCGTCCCTGACCGAAACGTGGCCATAAACGTCGATTGGGAACTGAACCGAGCACTTGATCAACTTGACGGCGAGCACGTTCAAGGAAGTATAGAGCTCCGGTCCACCGATTCCATTGTGCAGGTTCCGCATCGGCGACTTGGTAGCTGCAAGCCGACTAAAGAAGGTAAATTGCAAGCCAAAACAATGGGGAATCGCGAAGTAAAAAAAGGTACGACGAGAGGAAAACGAGGAGCGCGCTACAAGGGGACGGACTTTTCCTGTCGACGCGAATTGGATACTCGGAGCTTTTGAGGCTCTCGAGATACTTGAGCTGAAGCTCCATCTGCTGCTCCTTGTACTTCGCCATGACCTTCTCTTTCCCCCACTCGCCCTCCGCTCTCCTCTTCGCCCGCTGCTCCTTCGCCTCCGCAGCAGCAGGATCCTCCTCATCTTCTGTGTAAAAGCCGAAAAGGAACTCCTCCTCTTCTGACGCCATCCCGCCGCCGCCGCCGTAATCTAGGACCAGTCTAGCTCTCCGGGGCTTTGGGTCTACTAGCTTTTCTTTTTGAGACAAAGCTAGATGTCTGAAGCACGAGTCGAGTCCACACCGCGGCTTATTCATTCAAGTGCTGGTCTCTCGATTGGACTTGGACTCGGCTTTCTCTTGGGCTAGCGCACTCGCTTTCCTACATGGGCCGGGACGGGCTGCCTAATGTCGTGACATTGTTTTTTCTTTTCTTACAAAATGATTATGTTTTTCTTATCATCAAAATGTTATTCCTCAAACAATGGCCATATCTTTTACAATTTGAGGCAAATAAATTCAGAGGCACTAGAGTTCCAAGACTCGGATAAGCTAACTCTGAAACAATGGTTTGCTAGACTATCAGCAACTATATTTGCTTCCCTACAACAATGAGACGCTTGAAAATTTCAGTGCTAGGAGAGTAGCATCTGTAATGATCGACGTGTCCGGACCCATATATCCCTTCGGATTCGAATTGCATCCAAGGCAGTCCTACTGTCCGATTTGATGACAATTTAGTGCAGCCGGTGTTAGCCGCTAGGATCAATCCGTTGCGAATGGCGTTGATCTCCACGGAGTCCATAGTTGATACATGAGATAAGGTCCATGTTGCCGCTGCAATGAAGTTACTGTGATCATCATGAGCCACAACAACACATACCCTGCCAATGTTTGTGCATAAAATGACGCGTCAACATAACGTACCCTGCATTTGGTTTCTTCCATACATGCTCGGATTTTCAGATAGGTTGGTTCAGTGTATAGCTCCGAATAAAATTTGTAGCTAGAACTCAAATGGTCATCGCTATTCTCTCTTAGTTTTGGACAGTTCCACCTTTTGCTCCTTGCTCTCTTTGCCGCCAAATATACCACATAGCTACAAGAATCAGCTCCGCTACCAGTAGTTCATGCACCACCGAACGTAGTTGGAGAAGAGCTTCCAGGTTGATAGAGCCCGAGCGGTCCTCAACCACTGCATGAGGGATTGCATCAACTAGATTTAGTTCGGTCCATATCTCATTCGCTCGAGCACTAGTGAATAGGCAATGTTGGATATCCTCCAATCCAATCTTACAAAATGGGCATTGGGGTTATAAAAGGGATGTGTCATCCAGCTAACACACCCAAACATGGCAACACGCCCTTCAAAACCTTCCATCCAAAGTGTTCTATTTTTCCAGGAATCCTAAACATGGTAACACGCCCTGCAAAACCTTCCATCCAAATCTTCTAGAGCTTGGAGTGGGATTTGCATAATTCTATGAACATCACCGGTGAGAACATAGTACAAATAAGCACCTCCTCCCACTGTATGGTGTGGGGATCGATAATTTCTTCCACC